ATTGCACAGATGCTTTATAACCTGTCAGTTATGCTAATGTGACTATAATTACAAATATCTTATTTTAACTAATTAACAAAATGCTAATATCATAATACTGCTTATGTATTATATAATTAATTATTCAAATTTTTGCTATCAGTGGATTTTGAACTTACAACCTACCACTTGAAGGTTAACAACTTATTCACTTCATTAAGTTATTATATCTATAAAATTTAAAATTTAAAAATATAAAATTTAAAATAAAATTTAATTCAAGTTGAATTAATAAAAGTATATCTTAAATATATAAAATACCAAAAAGTGAACAAAACTTAAGTAGTTCTTGCCTTGGGTTAAGCTTTTTGTTTAGTAGACTTTCTCATATATTCAGCATCCAAACTAAAAGAATATTCTAAAAGCAAGTAGAGACAAAATCAGTTCTTTGATTAAGAATATTAGAAGCAGAAGAAAAAAAAGAAAAACTAGAAATCTCTTCTTAACTTGAACTTTTGCAACAATAATATACATTTTCTTCATTCTTTTTTTGTTTTTTTTTCGAAAAGTGTGAATTTGTCTTACTTTCATCAAAAGATTAATATTGTGAATTACTTTTTTTTACAATTACATGCTTGTTTGGATATGGTGAATAAGGAATACAACAAACATGTATATTAGCCAATCACATAAAGCAGATTAGAAAAAGATTTAAACTAACAAAACCAAAATTATATTGAAATATATATATATTCTGAGACCATGTGCATAATATTTTTAAAAAAAATGATTACAGGAGTTTATGAAAAATTAGATCACTTAAGTGCACTCCAAATTTTGGCACTATACTTCAACTACTTGAAGATTTTTTCTATATAAAAAGTGCCTAGCTCAAAGTTTATTTTATAAGTAAATACAGTTTTTATTTTAGTTAATAGTATTTAAATTTTAAAAAATAACTATAGCTTATAAAAAAATAAAAACATTGTAGTAATCAGCAATCATGAAATAGAGTTTTATTCTATTAGCAGATTTTTTTTTTTATTCTTTTTATAAATTAGTATTGTTTATTTTGTTAGTTTTATTTTACTCTCTATTTTTATTTATTTTTTTCTTAATTTAAAATTATTTTCTTTTTTTTTTAGGTTTTCTTTTTTTTACAAGAAGTGTCTTCAGATTGGCAGTATTCTATTATAGAGCAAAGATCAAATAAGTTGTAATTTCTAGTTCTAACTAGATTAGTATAGTAGGTTATATTTAGATACAGTTTGGATAGCCAAATAATAGTAGACTTATAAGTTAAATGATAGTTTGTATTTATATATATAGCTACAAATAGTTTAATAAAAAATACTACTATAATTGCTTAAAAAAAAAAAAAATTTAAAATAAAATTGTTTGTATAAAGAAACTTGTTTTCTAGAAATAGGTTTCTTAAGAATGATTTCTGATTTTTTTTGAAATAAATTTTTGTTTTTTGTCAGAAAGTATCAAAATATTATAAAATCACAATTTCTTAATATAATACAAACAAGTAATAAAATTACTCAATATATATATATATATTTTAATATTAATAGTGAGGCTATGTCTTTATCTTTATTAAATATTCATTTAAAATTTTTACATAAAATATAAATTTATTATTAAAAATATTATAAAAAGAGTAAAAGCTCAGACTAGTTTATTTGTAACCTAAACTAACAGAAGTGACCAAGGCTCATTTAGATTTGATTGTTAGTAGTTATATATAAAAAATTAGTTTGATATTTGATCTATTGTATATATTAGGAGTTAATTTTAAAATAAATTGAATTAGAAAGAAAAAATTGAGATAAATATAAAGTAAAATTTAAGAGTGAGTTGAAAGTAAGAAAATGAAAGATCACTTAATATAGTAATTAATTATTACAAATATATTTAAAATAAAGATGTAGTAGTTTATTTTACTATATAGCAGTAAGCAAATAGTTTAAAAAATAATAGTATATATAGATTAACTTTTTATTAACAACATATATAATAATAATCTTGATTATAAAAATTAATTTAGAGAAAAATATTATACTTTACAATTAAAAGATTATTATATTTAAGTTAAAATATAAAAACTTAAAATTGACTAAAAAAAAGAAATATCTTTTATATATCTTTTTATTTAATAAAAATAGTGAAAATTTGTATAGTAATAAGTAAATTTTGTATAAAAATAGTTAAAATAATGCTTATAAGTATTTGTTATTTATATTTAAAATACATAAAAAAATACTTGAATCTGTGCAAAAAAATTTAAAATTGTATAAAAACACTTAATAATTATATAAAAACACTTGATAATTATAAAAAAAATATTTTGAATTCTTGTATTATGATATTTGATATAGTAATTTTGTACTAAAATACATGAAACTTGTATAAAAATACTTGAAATTTGTATAACAATAATAATATTACAAATGTTACTCAATGTTATATAACTATATCATATTTATAATAGCTAATTAAAAATTCTTTTATCTAACTATTATATACTATAATATATAGTATATATTTTTTTAATATTAAGGTGAGATCTTGTTTATATCTTTATTAGTAGTTTAAAAGTTAGTAGCTATATAGAGCTGATATATAAAAAATAATTTTATATAAATGCTATAGCTAAAACCAACACTTGCAGTTAGGACTGAACTATTAAACTGCTAGCTATATAGCTATTCTAAGTACAAATAAAAGAAAAACTATATTTAAGAATAAAAGCTCAGATATATTTATTTGTAACCTAAACCTACTAAAGTAGTCAAAACTCACCTAGATTTGTAAGTTTAGAATGTGATTATAGAAAATATTGTATTTGATTCAAAGAATAATCCAGAAGTTAATTTTATAAATAGTGTAGCCAATAGGTAGGCAGGTATTAGAATTTGAATATAATTAGTTAGATTGTTCACATAAACAAGAGTAAGTATAATTTTTGTAATTAGAGTTTCTTTTGTTGCTTTAATTTGATTAGAGTAGGAGTCTTGCATAAGGTGGTTTAAGTTCTTGTTGTCTTCAGTTAGCAATGCTTATACAATATAGTTTTCATATTTGTTCATAAAAAAGTTCATTAACTTTAAGCAGAATAGCAATAATTGTTTATAAGACTAGTTTGTATAAAATATTAAAGTTTTGTACAATATCGATTAGAGATTTAGGAATAAGTTTTTTAAGTATAATATCAAGATAGTGTTGGTTTGTTTGAAGAAGTATAGAGTAAAAGGCATAGTGATAACTGATTTTGTGAATAAGTTTTTCTTGTTGGTTTATAGATAAATTGAGATCTGTATAATTAATGTATTCAAATATGCTAGTTTGAATAATATTAAATATAAGTGATAGATTTAAGCATGTATGCCAATAGGTTAGGAAGTTGGCAAGATTACAGTTGAAGTAGTTAGTATTGTAAAATGTATGTGAATAAGTTTTATGAAAATAAAAGTAGGTAAAAAGTTCATTTAATAAGATTTTAATTTTGAATGATTTAAGGTAGTTGAGTTTAAAGTTAATGATATTATGAGTTGGTTTTTGGTTATGGTTAAAAAATAACCAAGTTGATCTCCAGTTAATTTGGAAAACTAGAGCTTCCTATTTCATATTATATTTTTAAGATAACTACATTGCTAGAATGTAGGCTTTACAGATATTTTTGATAAAGCTTCTGGTTAGGTATTCAATAAAATATTGATCCTAAAAAATTATATAATATGGATTATAAATGCTTGTATAGTTAAAATATAGTATAGAGAATGAATTATGTTGTTTTGCAAATGAGTCTGCTAAATTATTAAGAGTGTTATCAGAATGGGCTTGTATTTTGTAAAAGTTAATCTGGTGTTTATAAGATTTAATAATATTAAGCAAAGTGTGCTATATGGGCCATAAGCTAAATTTGAAAAACTTGTTAAGATTTAAGAAAATAGTATATATTTTAGAATATTTAGTAATTATAGACTAGAAATTAGTGAAGATATTGATTGTTGAATTGCATAAGGTAATTGAAACAGCTGAAAGAATTAACATTAGTTTAGCTTTATAAGAGGATATTCAAAAATTAATTTTAGCTAAGAATTTGTGAATTATTGGTTAAAATCATTAACTTGTACCTATTCAATACCCATTGTATATTGATCTGTATCAATATTAATTATAGAGCTATTAGTATAGAAGTTAAATATATTTTGTGCTATATTGGTAAAAGAATATTGTTCAAGTATATGTATAGCTTTTTCTTGCTTAAAAATTTCTGATATAAGTGAGTTAGAGATATAGATAGTAAGAGCAGAAGATAGAGATAATAGAAGTTTAATCACAGTTAAATAAATCAGATCAATATAGTTTGCATTAAAATTGAGTACATTAGAAGAAACTTTTTTAAAAAATTATATAAAAATTAATGATGATATATTAATTGTACAGTAATTTGCAACTCTATGAAAGTTGAGATAGCAGCCTATACAAGATAAGCATTGAATTGATGAGAGGAAGAAGTAAGTAGAGAGTTCTGTATGAATATTTGTATTCTAGTATATAATGGATATTTTATTGTCATGTTTAAAATATCTGTGAATTTTGCCAATAATAATGATATTATTATTGTATATTAGTAACCAGAGTTTAAGTTTTTTAAAGATGTGTTGGAAGTTATAAGTAAAAGGATTGTGTTCAGTTTGTTGATATTGTAGAAGTAGTATTCTAGAGCTGTTGTTAGTAGTTATAGTATTTTTTAGATATGTAAACCAAGATAGCTTATTCCTTTAAACAGCTGTACTAAGCAAGATGAAAAGTAATTCTATTAAAGTAAAGTAGTATTGTCTGCAGTGCAGAGTTGTTCAAGATACAAGATGTTAAGTTTTCTAAGTTGTTTTTTAAAAATAGTGTATTGAAAATAGTATTATATAATAATACGAATTCAAAACTTATAAAATTTTGATGGTTAACATAGATTTGTAAAATTTAACTTTTGAGAACCTCCTTTTTAATGTTTAGATACCAGTATTGTCTTTTTTTCTTGTTGGAATAAGGACAAGTAAGAAGAAAAAGTATTCTTGGTTGTATTGTTCTTTTTTCTTGTTAAGGTAAGAACAAGTAGTAGGAAAAGTATTCTTGGTTGTATTGTTCTTTTTTCTTATTAGAGTAAGGACAAGTAGTAGAAAAAATATCCTTGGTCTGATGATTTTTTCTTTTACAAATTATATGTACATACATACTATCATGATTTTCACACATTCATCCTAATTTGTATTTCATACTGTACTACTTTACTACATATTCGCCTCTGACAATTTTATGGTACTTTTCATCTATATAATAGTTAGAGATGCTGAACTTGTATATAACTATGAACTGAGGTATTGTGTCATATTTTATTATATTTATAATATGTTTTTAAATTAGTTAGTGGTTCTTAATGATGTTGTAAAATTAATCTAATGAATTAATTGCTATTAGTAAATTGGCAATAAAGTCATTAATGAATTTTTAAATGAAGGATAGATATTAACTACTAAATATAAAGAGCATCATATACTTTGCTATTTGGCTAGATGAATAAGAAAAATAAAGGAAGGTAACAATAGAAATTTATTATTAAGCTATGATCAACAATCGCCTTTAAAAATTTATCTGGTTTGAAAGATATGCCAAATAATTAGATGAATTAACTGCTTGATTTTTTTTTTTTAAAAAAAAAAAATTGTTATGAATATTTTACTTAAATTTTTTTTTTTTTAAACATATAGGTATAGAAAAATTCTTAATAGCTAAAATCAAATAAGTGGCATACAAAAAGCCAAAAATACAAACAAAAATTGAAAGCTAAACTTAGAGTGCAACATCAGTACAGTTAAAAAAAATAAGAGTGAAGATTGTTTTTTGTTTTTTTTCTTTTCATATTACCATTCTTTGTGTTTTTTTTGTAATGCCCTTAACTTATTCTCATCAAACCCATGTTCTATATTGAGACTTTCCTGATATCTTATGATCTTTTTCAAGACTTCAATAGCCTCCATCATGGTTATTGAGAGTGGTAGTAGTTCTTTGTCATCATCATCATCATCATCATCTTCACAAAATTCATTTATTACCATTTTAATAATATTCTTGTCAGTTAACAAGTCCTTAGTTGCAGTTGGTTGGTTGATTATATAAATGTATTCTTCAATATTATCTTTCAGTTCTTGGGTCATTAGGTTGGTTGCAGCAGCTGAAAGGTTGTTAACTATCATGGCCAGTGTTAGCAGATGACCTTAAATGACCTATATAATCTATATGACCTATATGACCTGTTATAAGTCATTTGGTCATAATAAATATTGATATAACTTATAACTTTTTAATATAGAAAAATTTATAGCAAAAATTTTTTTTACTATTATTTAATATGACCTATGTATATGACCTATAACAAGTCATATGATTATATAACTAAGATCATATTAAAAAAATGTTATGACTTAGGTCATTTGCCAACACTGATTGTAGTAACATCATTTATTTCAGTTGTTTCTTCTTAAGGTTCTTCCTTCAACTCACCTTCCATCTCATTTACTTTAGCCATAATTTTGGTAGTTCTCTAACAATTTCTTATGATAGTCTTGCTCATGTCTTCCCAAGCATCAGAAATAAAATCAATAGCTTTTTTTAGGCTAAGTTTCCTGCATTTTATAAAAATTATTAGTATACTAGTGTTTAACTCCTTCTATAATAAACTGATGATTCTGAAAGAAAAAAGTTTATTCTTTAAAAATTATTATTTCTTAAGGTTATGACAATTCTATACCAAATCATTAAAAAAAAATTTAAAATTTTGAGTTCATTATATCCAGAACTTACTATATGGAGTGTTACATATTAAAAGAATCCATTTTAACATTTTATTTTATTTTATTTTTGAATAGGTATTTATTCAATAAAAAGCTTGTTATAAGTATAATTGTATAAGAGTGGCCAAGGCAAAACCTGTAAACAAATTTTGAGGTATCAATAAGGTAAGTTTAACTAAGAAAATTATGCATTAAATCATTGTGTCATTTAACAAGACTTAGGGTCTAAGTTTTATTAAATAATGACAAGCATACATAATATAGAAACAACCTGAACACTAATTGTATGTGATGATTTAATATGTAATATTACAATTTTCCCAGAGTTAAACTTGCTTTATTGATATCTTAAAGTTTGCTTGCAGGTTTTGCTTTGGCAGCACTCATAATAAAAAGATCTACAAAATGAACTTGAAGTATACAATTTTATATTTGCTTCTATTTGTTGATCATTATTTAAATCTAATTTACTTAAAATGATTTAAATGTAAAAATGGACTCTTTTAATGCATGATACCTCATATAGAGGTTTGTTATATGAATTTTACCTTTGTTCTTTATTCTTTTCAAACCACTTGATCAAATAACACCAGTACAGGTTCTTGTATTTTGATTTAAAGTTTCTAATAATGCCAGCATCTATGGGTTGAAGATGGACAGTAGTATTTGGTAGAAGAAATTGTACATTGATATTAGTAAGGTGAAGAGTACTTAAAATCCATCTTAATTAGCCAGAACCAGTAGAATTAGGTCTTTGGAATCTTTCTTGTGGCCTTTCTTGTGGCCTTCCTTGTGACCTTTCCTGAGGCTGCTCTTAAAGTTCCTCAATTTTTTTTGAAGAGTCATATTCCGATATTGATTCTTCAGTCATGTTTTGGACTTCAATCATATTACTCATTTTCAGGGCCGTATTATTTGCTTCTAGGGACATGTGTAAAGCTGTATTTTCAACCAAAAGTAAGACTTGCCTACCTTCAATGTAGAATTTATTGTCAATAAATTTCAACCATTGTTTCCAAATATCGGTCCTCATCCATGCTTTTTTATTATTTTTATATATTACTGGCAGTTGTGATATATTTATCCTATTAAATGATCATGACTTTTTAGAAGTTCCAATTACTAGTAGCCATAATTTATCGAAGCCAGTTGAATTGGTGCATAGAAGTATGGTTACTCTTGTCTTGTTCTAAAAAAAAAAATTCTTTTTCATTTATTTTTTTTTAAAAACAAAAAAATTTATTTTGGTTTTTTTTTTTTCCAGATAGGCAGATTTGACTCATTTGCAGATCACAAATGTGATGTTTCAATAATCGATAATAATTACATGAATTGTCAAACTACCAATTAGGATGTTCAGGATAGAGATGCAGATGAATCGTCCCAATTTGCCATAATGTGTTGTAACTATAGTAAGTAATATAGCAAGTTACAGCAATAATGCTATAACTATAATGATAACAGATAATATATTACTTGCTATAGTTACAGCAAAGTTACAGCAATCATTAGGATGATTCACCTGCACCTCTAGTCTAGGATTATGATGTGAAGATAGCCAAATTATATATATAACAAATCATAAATTATATAAATTATACGAATTTTGAGTTATTATTAGCAATAAAATTTCAAAAGAACAGCAAGTTAGGTAATTACAATCAGAAGGACAACCTGGTTTATTCATTTAACCAATAAATTTTTGTTCACATTCTGCATGAAAGTAAGTGAATTATGTGCAAATTATATGCATATTATGTTGCATCATAATCCGAACACCCTACTATCAATAAATATGCTTATATATAATTATATGATATTATATGATATTTACTCTAATTGACAATTACTAAATAAGAGAGAACATTAAAAGTCAGATTCGTTTAGAATTAGATTTTTGATGCAGTTAGAGTTAAAATTTACAAAATTATCAATCTCTGATTTACATATAGAATTCTGTATTGTCATATAAGTGATTTACTTGTGTTAAATCTGCTTATATGCTTTTTATTTTTTTTTATTTTATTTTTATTTTTTTCTTTTTTTTTATCTTCTTTTTTTAAAAAAAAAAAATAAAATAAAATTTAAATATTTTTTTTTTTAATTTACCATTTTTTTTCCAACCAATTTTTTTTTTTAGAAAGTGTTTGGTTGGGAAGCAGTTTATAAAATAGACCCATTTCATTAGCATTGTAAATATTTTCCAGATCATAATGAGAAAGAAGTTCTTGTAGTTTAACACACTCTGCAGGTAAAGTTTCGAGGAATGTGCTTGCTGCTTCACCATGTAATGTAACTTTTCTTAATCCATTGTGCTTTTTAAATCTTAAAATCCACTTATTTGAAAATGCTAATGATTCTTCATGTATGCCGAATGCTTGTATGAATTGATGACCTTTTTCTTTTATTAATGTTTCTGATATAATTAGTCCTTTGTCTGAAACCTGTTTTATCTACATATTTATTGCAAGTTCTAACATCAGATGCTTTATGAAATGATAACAGAAATTATTTTCAGCTTGTGCATCATCTTCAATTTGTTGATACTCATTACTTTTTTTTAGGATTTTTGACATTGTCAACTGATCAATTTTCAAATTAGGATAACAGTTCATAAACTTATTTGCAATCTTATGCTGCTTATAGGTTGGGTTTTGTTTAGCAAACTCACAGATTTCTTTTTTTTGTTTGTCACTTATATAGCAACATGTTTTTTTAGGGTTGGGTAGCATTATGTAGATTTAAAAAAATCTTATGTTTTTTTTTTTTTTCTACAAAGTGGATGCCCTTAGGCATAAATGCTATGGTTTGTTTATTTATATGATAAGGCGAAATTTTTTTTTTAATGAACTTTTTTTTTTTTTTATAAGAAACACAGTTTATATTAATCTGCGAGTGTACAATACAATAACTTCATTCACTTTTAGCCATTAAAAGTCTAATATAGAAATAACTTCTAAAACAACATGTATACATAGCATTCTTTTAGAAATTATTTCTAAATTAGCTCATCTCTAGTGAACAATTGAATAGAGCCATAATGGCTATCTTAAAATCCTATTGTTTGACTGGTTTGTACATACACATATTGATTTAACCTGAATTATAAGTTAACTAGCAAAAAAAGAAAAAGAGTTTTGGTTGGCAGTCAGAGCAAAAAATATCTATTTATTGTTTTAGGTATCTTGACAATAATAGACAGAATGGACAAGAATTTGATTTTGGAATGAATAGAAAATGAATAGGTACTTTTTAGACATGAATAGGATGATCACCGATTTTATAGGTCATGTAGGTAGCACCATCTGCAGCAATTGCTGCAAATGAATTAATATTGGATTCATAGTCTATCACTTTGAAAATTTTGATTTTGCATTGCATAATGAACATTGGTGGTTCTACTCACATGATCCGTAAAATTGGAGGCTGCCTTGGTCATGTTCACTTTTTCTTTGTACTTAAAACAGTCACTTAAATGTAATAAAAACTGAATTATCAATATTTTAATATCTGCATATTTATATAATATAGTATTTTATTGTTCAAAATCAATATTGTACAATATATATCTTTTTTGTTATAAAATAGAAAAAAAGAGTCTAATCTAGTAAGAATATATATTTATAGAGTATTCATATCCATCAGATATACCTCAAATTGTATTGGTGCACTGAACTTAGAATTCTTCAAAGAATACTCTAAGTTGTGAGAGAGCACATTTGTCTATTGCAGTGTGGACTATCATATGCTGGATATGCATATTTTATAAATGAAATCCAAGTGGTAAATAGGCTGGGTATGATGCTTGACATGTTAAATATATAAGCAAAAATGTACAATCAGAATACTGTAATAATCGAGAACTTATATCTGTATAAAAAATGATGAGTTATTAAATTAAAATATAAAAACTGGTAAGTAACTGATATGTATGTAACATGTATATATGAAAATTATTTCTAAATTCAAAGATCACAAAATTCTGTATATTAGAGTGACTTTTTACACAACTCTAGGTTTATGATGCAGTTATAATAGTGAGTCAAACATTTAACTATAAATATATTTATAAAAAGTGATGAATTTAAAATAAAAAAGAGATGGATTTTAAGGTGAGCAGGTTTGATGTTAAGGATTCAGTTAACTATGTTTGACAATACTATATGCAATATTATATAAAAATCAATTAAGAATTTTTTTTTAAATTTAGTAATCAGGATAGTAATCAGATTATTAATTACTTTTTATATATAATTTAATAGTAAAAGATAACTTGCATGTTTTTAGATGTCTAGAGTGATTCACTTTACATTTTTCGATAGCATAATTCTATTCTTAAACACATTTATAACAAAGAAATATTAAAAAATTTTATATTCTAGTATTAAATTTTTTTTTACTTATAATGAAGATATCTTTCTTTAAATCGTTCACAAGATGAAGAAGAATTTTTATAAATAAATATCAACATTAAAAAAATTTCAACATAACTTTGTTATAAACATGTTTAAGAATAGAATTATGCTAAAATAATCAAGAAAAGTAAATCAATTCACTCTAGATATCTAAAAACATGCAAGTCATCTTTTACTATACTAAATTCAAAAAAAATACCTTAATATTAATTAATTTTTTTTATAGTACCACATAGTGTTGTTAGGCAAAACCTAGAGGTTTTGCCATTGGCAAAAGGCAAAACTAGTTTTGATTTTTGCCAAAAAAATATTAAAATGCCAAAATGACAAAATTGGCAAAACTAGTAAAACTGCTGAAATGTAAAAAACTGAAAAAAGAACAATAAAATTAGTAAAAAAAACTAGTAAAAAAACAAGGATAGAAAAGTAATTAAAAAAATTTTTAATCTTTTTATTTAATTATCAATCTTTTTATTAATATTACTATTTAGATAACCTACCTACAGATGCCCAGATTTGGATTTTGGAATAGATATAATTATTACAATCCTGACAAGTCATAATAAAAAATTCTGATAATCAAAATCCCAACAATCAGAAATTACAGTTGTAATTTTTAATAAAAAATTCAGAATATGGGTATGTTTAAAGTGAAGTAGTCTCTTATAATTTAATTAATTTAAGGTTAGGTCACTTTAGATAAGAATTAGGCTAGAGTTAGATTATTTTTATCAGAATTTTTAATTGTCAGAATTTGTAACTATCAGTTTTTGGCTGTTATGATTTTTGCTGTCATAACTTTTTTGTCAGAATTATAATCTGTTGGGATTTCACTTGTCTGGATTTTAACCCATAGCCCTTTTACCTAACCTAATATTTAATTTTAACCTAATACAAATTTATTTTGTCACATATATGTGCATAATCATGCTGTATATGATGTTTTTTGATTATAAGTCAATAATACAACAATTATTTCCTCTGAGATTTAGAATAAAGCATCGGGAAATAATTGTCAATAATAATAATATTAACAAATTATTTACATATATATAAAATTTTAACAAAATGTTAAAAGAAAAAATCTTAATACTATAATAATAAATTTATTTAAATATTTAGATACGTTTATTTTACATGAATAATATTAATACATAGATAGTGCTACTAAAAGAAAACAGGATTTCATGCCTTGAATTTTCAAAATAAATTTATTTATAAGTTTAAAAGACTGAAGTCTGGTAGATTTTTTTAATAGTACTCAAATACAAACAAAAGGCTATTGCTTTGTTTATTGCTTCTGTATA